CTGCTGTCAACCTTGATATATATCATTTACTTGTAGCCTTAACAGGACAGAATCTGAGGATATTTCTTTTGATATTTTAGCACTGTCTTTAAAGATTCTGGTGGTGTATTCGCTTGATAGGTTACCCCTATACAAATCGCGGCTAGAAGTAACTCTTACTTTAAAAACCGACTTTGAAAGTCCATGTTTGAGGTAATATAATGGGATGATTGGTTCAAGATTGAACTGGACTATAGAATAGTTTGTAGTGGGTACTATAGAGCAGTATAATATAATAGTTTATCTATATGTAGATCTGACTAGTGTATGGTCCAACCTAAGGAATGGTCTTTGGTAGGTTTAATGTATATGGATTTCCAAACAATAAGGATTGAATTACACCAAAAAGTTACTATGTTACTTAGTTTACTGTGCGGCGATACATTATTATTTATTCACCACAATTCTTTACATCATTGACAATATTGGCGCCAATAAGGAGACACATCTCTGTAGTCAGATAAGCATAAGAAAAAACTATTCATTCATAAATTTGTCGAATTTAAACTTCCGGTGGAAATAAATAACTTACTATGTGTGGGTGTAGTTTATGGAAGAAGTTGGAAACAAAGATTATAAAACAACAATGTGGGCTTTAAAGAAGTTAAAGTTGTAAAACATTGTTATTTATACTGGAACCCAACCTCCTTTATCCTTAAAAATGGACGTTGAATTTGTGTAAATGTGAATGTTTGTTATAACAAGGTGTACGTGCGTTTTAGCATGTTGGTATAGAAATTGTTGCAAGTTGTTTAAACAAATATTAATTCTTTTATTAAGTGCCATTAAAAAAAGTAAATAATGAAAAGTATAAAGGTAATATTTGTTGCTATGATTCTACTCCCACAGTTTCAATTTGAAATTCATAAATATAATGATTTCTACTGAATGAATGAAATGTTTGCTTTGTAGAAAGAAAACATAAATTGTTGCAAATTGTTTGGAAATTTTAATTGCTGCTAAATTTAATAGCAGGGAAAATTTTTTATAAATGTAAAATAAAAAAAAAGTTATTTATAATTTAAATAAACAAATGAAAAGAAATGGAATTAAATTTTTTTAATAATAAATTTAAACAAATCAAATAATTGTTTTTTATATAAATTTCAAAAAAAGAAACTATTCAAAGAATTCCAAGAGTGTGTGTGTTTTTTTTTGGACTAAAATAAATAAAAAATATTTTTATACTGAAAAAAGTGTGTTAATCACAAAAATAATAAATTAAATAATTGTTTATACCAAAGAATTGAAAATCATTTTTGGGCAACTACAAGTAGGTACTAATTTATTTATTTTATGGTTTTTCAAATCAATAAAAAAATTGAGAATTTTTTAAAATTATTTAAATATTTTATTTATTTATATTTAAATTTACAGTCAATTTATACAAATGTTTAAGCACAAACTTTTGTGGAATATTTTATTGGTCCTAGAATTGTAATTAATTAAATATTTTAATGGGTTTGACACTAATATATTTTAAATGTAATTAATTAAAATTTATATTAAAATTGTTTCAATTTATGTACATAATTTGTTGGTTAAAAAAACTTTATAATAACGAAAATTAACATATTTATTGCCACAGTACTCGGATAATGAAAAAAATTATCAAAAAAAAAAACAAACTTTTTTTCATAAATTTTTGTTTAAAATACATTTTTTATATCTAAAACAATTTTGTTTTGAGTGTAGAAAGAAAAAAAGCTTTCGTTATACTTTAGAACTATAAAACTAATATTGAAAGCAGATTAAATTAAAGAAAGCATTTCAAAACTTTTTAGAAACCAGTACATGTGATTTAAATCTATACTGATAGACCGTGTTCTACACTACTAACTTATATACGAAAGTTCTTATAACCCTAAAACTTAGAAAGCTTTATATTTCCCTTAGAAAAGCTTTTTAAGGCAATAATTTTACAGTCTCTATAACTAGAAAGCTTGACTTTTTTTAAAGTATAAATGTAGTGTTTTCAAATATTTATTTGTCTTAAAACTGTACAAAAAGTTTTTACTAAAAAGCTTTTTAACTTAAATCTTTAAAAAAACTGGATGTAAATTTTTGCCTTTAAAGCTTTACAAAAGCACCTTGAGACATAAATGCTATTTTGTAAATCTAATGCTATAGAAATACTTATTTAGTTAAGAAAAGCTTTACAAATAAGCATTGTAAATAAAAAGCTTTGTCATAAATATTTTACTTTAAAACTTATTTTTACCTTTTTCTTTAAAGCTTTAAAAAAATCATGCTATTTGGCCAATTCTTATGTTATCAAAATACTTATTTAGTTAAAAATGTCCTTAAAAGCTTTACAAATAAGCTTGTTAATTAAAAAATCTTATTGTGTAAATCTTATGTTTTCAAATACTTATTTAGTTAAGAATTTCCTTAAAAGCTTTAGTTAGTTAGTTAGTTAGTTTGAAAGTTTCAAATCCGAAGAAATACACCTAGGCCTCTATCGGGCCTGTTGTGCGCTCCTTAACCAGCGCCTCAAGTGGGAATCGAACTCACCACCTTCGGTCTACCACTTTTAAGTAAAGCTTTATTTCAAAGATTTTGTTATAAAGCTTTTACTTAAAAGTTTTTTTTTTAAGAATCTCATGAGTACATAACTTTATTTACAAGATTTTGCCATAAAGCTTTTACTTAAAACCTTTTTTACAAAACTGTTTTTCTGAGAAAGCTGTTTTATTTTTTTGGAATAAAAATAGCTTTATTATAAATATTTTTTTACTTCAAAACTTTTTAAATAAAAATTTTTTCTATAAAGCTTTATTTAAACGATTTTTTTTATAAAGCTTTTACTTAAAAGTTTTTTTTATATAATATAAAAGATTTTATCATAAAGCTTTTTTTTATAATTTTTTTTTTCTGAAAAAGCTTTTTTATAAAACTGTTTTTCTAAAAAAGCTGTTTTACTTAAAATAATTAATAGACTTAAACTATTTTTATAAAAGCTTTTGATGTTTAATATTTGAAATCTTAATACTAAAGGCCTTGTAAAAAGCTTTATTATAAATCTTTTTTACTGCAAAAAAAAAAAAGAAATTAAATAAATATTGCGATTTTTTATATATACACGGTAACTTAAAAGCTTTTATAGAAACGTTCTATTAAAGGCAGTTTTATTTAGAAACTTTAAGCTTTATGATAAATCTTTACTTTAAAGTTTTTTGAATAAAATTCGTGATTAAAAATAGCTTTATTATAAATATGTTTTACTTCAAAAAAAATTTTGTTATAAAGCTTTTCTATACAAGATTTTTTTTTGTAAAAGCCTTATTTAAAAGATTTCATAAAGCCTTATTAAAAAAAAAGCTTTTAATTTTTTTAAAACTGTTTTTCTGAAAAAGCTGTTACTTTTTACTAAAAGCCTTGATAAAAAGCTTTGTTATAAATCTTGTTTACTACAAAAATGTTTTAATTAAAGCTTTTAATTAAAATAGCGATTACTTTTACTGTTTAATCACCTTAAAAGCTTTCTAAAGTCAGTTTTGTTTAAAAAATATTTTATAAAGCTTTATCATAAATCTTTAATTTAAAACTTTATCATAAATCTTAAAACTTTCTCTTTTTTCTTAAACCTAAAAAGGTTTAGGTGAAAGAGCTTGAATTAATTTTTTTTTAAAGCTTTTACATATTTTATGTATATTTTATTGACTAAAAAGCCTTTGTAAATCTTTACAAAGCATTTATAAAAAAGTTTGTCTTAAAGGCAGTTTTATTCAAAAGATCTTAAAAAGCTTTATCACAAATCATTACTTTGAAGCTTTTTGAATAAAACTCGTGAATAAGAAGTAGATTTATTATTGCTTTGTTATAAGAGCTGAAAAGCTTTTACTTAATTAATACTATTTTTTTAAGCTTTTAAAATTTTATGTTTACTAAAAATCCTTTGGTAAAGCTCATGTAAAACCTCTTTTATTTACACGTTTTTAAGCTTTACAGAAGATTTTATTGACTTAAAAGTTTCAGAAAACTTTTTTAAGATATTTTTACCTAAAAGCTTTTAATAATTTTTATAAAACTTAACATTTTTTAAGTAGTTAACGTGATTAATATTTTTTCTAAATACAAAGGCAGTTTTATTTAAAGGCTTTTTTAAAAATATATTAAAAATTTTTTTCACAGCTGCTGATATTCAAGTTATGGATTGGCGGGGTTTACGACAGTATATTAGGTTTACGTCCTTGTGAGATATACCATCTTGCCTTGTAATTTAGATTTATTTTAAGCTTTTAGATTTAGATTTGCTTAAGGAAGCCTATGACGTAGTAGTAACAAACAGCAAATGACCCATATTGTATTACAAACATTCAATTATTTTGCTATTTTTAGTTATAATGATTTCAGTGAGTATACAAATCATTAAAGCTCAATCGTAATTTGATATAATTTATAGTTTGAGAACAATCATTAGTTATGCACAAAAGTAAGGGAAATCAAAATCAAAAGATGACTTGTTTTTTGATGTTTTATAAACAGAAATGATTGATAAACATATCCTGTGTTTAACTAGTTATTTGAGATGAATTAAACATTTTCTTAAGCAGTAATTATAGAATTAAAAAAAAATATATATTAAAAATACAATTCACATAATTTAGAGTTTTTTCAAATTTTCTAAATCAGTTTATTTACTTTAGCATTTATTAAAAGCTTATATTTCTGTCAGTTAAAAAATATTTAAAAATCATACTATTAGTTTAGAATTTTAATTGTTTATCTATTTAATACACAAACTGTTATTTTTAAAATCATTTAATAGCAAGTATTTTGTTTATATTTTCATCTCATATTTTAAGAAATTTTCTAAATAAATTTGTTTTCACTAAATTACTTAAAACTAAACAAATTTTTTCTATTTTTAAATTTCAGATTTTCAACGCCTGTTTTTTTTTTAATACAAATAAAAACAAAACCAGATGGCTTAATAAAAGTATAATTTATTTTACTTTAAACCACCAACTCAATTAAAATGATATAAAAAAACACAAATTGAACAAGTATCTAGATACATTACAAATTTATTACGACACCAACAACAACACTTTACCGCAGTACATAAATTATATCTGAGGCCTCCTCCAGCAGTTGTGTTGAGAAAAAAAAATATATTGAAAACCTATCTATTCAATTTGTACGTGATCTAAATGTTTAAATATTTAAAACATTTCTTCTTATTCCCATTCTGTTTAATACAAAATTCTAAATTAAATTTGTAAAAATTGCAATGTACATTTACATTGATGTTGTAGAGTGAAGTAATAAAATTACAAAACAATTAATTGATTACTGGAGAGAAAGGGACGAGTATTAACGGGACATGCAAAGATTTGGGAAAATATTTGTTTCGATAAAGGATATACGGAAATCATGGGGTGAGTACAAACATATATTTTAACTAACTAACTAACTAACTAACTAACTAACTAACTAACTAACTAACTACTAACTAACTAACTAACTAACTAACTAACTACTAACTAACTAACTACTAACTAACTAACTAACTAACTAACTAACTAACTAACTAACTAACTAACTAACTAACTAACTAACTAACTAACTACTAACTAACTAACTAACTAACTAACTAACTAACTAACTAACTAACTACTAACTAACTAACTAACTAACTAACTACTAACTAACTAACTAACTAACTAACTAACACTAACTAACTAACTAACTAACTAACTAACTAACTAACTAACTAACTAACTAACTAACTAACTAACTAACTAACTAACTAACTAACTAACTAACTAACTAACTAACTAACTACTAACTAACTAACTAACTAACTAACTAACTAACTAACTAACTACTAACTAACTAACTAACTAACTAACTACTAACTAACTAACTAACTAACTAACTAACTAACTAACTAACTAACTAACTAACTAACTAACTAACTAACTAACTAACTAACTAACTAACTAACTACGAACTAACTAACTAACTAACTAACTAACTAACTAACTAACTAACTAACTAACTACTACTAACTAACTAACTAACTAACTAACTAACTAACTAACTAACTAACTAACTAACTAACTAACTAACTAACTAACTAACTACTAACTAACTAACTAACTAACTAACTAACTAACTAACTAACTAACTAACTAACTAACTAACTAACTAACTAACTACTAACTAACTAACTAACTAACTAACTAACTAACTAACTAACTAACTAACTAACTAACTAACTAACTAACTAACTAACTAACTAACTAACTAACTAACTAACTAACTAACTAACTAACTAACTACTAACTAACTAACTAACTAACTAACTAACTAACTAACTAACTACTAACTAACTAACTAACTAACTAACTAACTACTAACTAACTAACTAACTAACTAACTAACTAACTAACTAACTAACTAACTAACTAACTAACTACTAACTAACTAACTAACTACCTAACTAACTAACTACCTAACTAACTAACTAACTAACTAACTAACTATAACTAACTAACTAACTAACTAACTACTAACTACTACTAACTAACTAACTACTAACTAACTAACTAACTAACTAACTAACTAACTAACTAACTAACTAACTAACTAACTAACTAACTAACTAACTACTAACTAACTAACTAACTAACTAACTACTAACTAACTAACTAACTAACTAACTAACTAACTAACTAACTAACTAACTACTAACTAACTAACTAACTAACTAACTAACTACTAACTAACTAACTAACTAACTACTAACTAACTAACTAACTAACTAACTAACTAACTAACTAACTAACTAACTAACTAACTAGCTAACTAACTAACTAACTAACTAACTAACTACTAACTAACTAACTAACTAACTAACTAACACTAACTATACTAACTACTAACTAACTAACTAACTACTAACTAACTAACTAACTAACTAATTAACTAACTAACTAATGTATGTATGTATACTACAACTAATCGGAAGAACTGCACTTTCATTAAAAAAATGTTCACTGAATGTATTACTTTTCAATGTTCAGATACTCACTTTCCTTGGCATAATTCCTGAGAATTTTCCATTCAGTCACTTCCAAGATACTTGGATCTAACTTCGACGAATGCCTGATGGTGGCAATGACAGTACTCCAGAGTTTTACTGCCACCTCCACATGCTCTACATTCTGAATCCGCACGTACACATGTGCTCGTAATGTCCGCTCAGAATACGTACCATCATACTAACTTCAGACTTGCTCATTTTGAGAAGATTTCTAGTTTTGCTCTAGTCAGGGCCATCCCCTAGGATCTTTGTGGTTTTACCTACCGTTTCATTATTCCAAGAGGCCTTATGGGATTCTCTCATCAACAATTTTTATTTAGCTTTTGTTGCGTCGAATGGTTTTGAGTTTGTCAGATTTATTACCTCGAGCTCCCCTCCTATTACATTCGCCCTTTCGTTGCCGACTACCCCCAAGTGGCATGGTACCCATATGATGTAAACCTTACCTCTAGGAGAGTATTCAGTTAAGGCTTTCTAACAATACAATACGGTCTTAGATTTAATTCTAATCGCCCTAATTGCCTTCTGGCAATCCAATTTATGCATCCGGTTATTGCTTCTGCGGGGAAGCTTGTGTTCTGATTAGGCCAGGCCCACTTTGTCCTCCAATTGAAAGCCATCCGTGTAGCAACGGATTCTAAAGGGTATTGCCTATAATTTTTCGCTTGACCATGACATTTTATGTGGTATCAGTGTTTCAAAGTTTCCGACATATTCTGTGTCTGGTATGCCATCAGGCACGTCTGGTATGCCATGCAGTCACATACATTGATGACGGATAGTACAACTGCTTTTGGTCAGTGCGCCTAAAGTTATGAGGCATTCGGCAGTAAGTGCGGTCTGATATCTTATATGTATATGTTTCAATAGGTGGACTATCTAGAAACGTGTCCATGCCATTAGTACTACTACTAGGTCAAGTAGTACTCATGGAAGTACTTATACTCAAGCATCATGAACGCTGAACATTTAGTAGTAGTTTAATATTACACTTTTTGTCTAAAGAAATCCATCAGATTAAGTACTCTTTTATAAAACCAATGTGTCATAATAGGACTAAGGTCCCATTTTATGCCTATGATTCTTCTACATAGCGACCAGAACCGATGTGCCTTGTTGATCCTACCCTGTATGTGGTGTCTCCATTTCAAATTCCGGTCAAGAATTACACCTAAGTACGTACCTCTGTCCTTACCGGTAATCCGGATTTTTAACATACTCTCTGGTGTAGAGTATCATATGGTCGGCAATGACTGACTATACTTTATTACTTGTTATTTATATGTTTGTTTTTGGTGTATAAAATAAATGTTATTGAAATGGAAAATCTACCAAAAGACAACAATAACAGAAAATTATATTTAAATAGATTAAAAACAGTAAAAAGTCATAAATCTTTATTGAAATTGCAACAAAAGAGAAAATAAAATTTAATTATTTACAGTTAAATTTTTACTACTATATACAGTAAAGAAGATTTTTAATTATAAATAACAGTGATTAGTTGAAAGGAAATAAAAGAAAATTAAATTATTTTTAAGAAAATATCATTAAAAAGTTCCTTCTTTTCCATGAAAATGAAAGTTTCGGCAATCACTGCTGAAAGCTTTTAAGAAGCACTTGATTCCAGCATTTCGTACTTGTTTCTAGCAAAACCGTACTTAACGAACTGTAAGAATTTCAATACGAATTTATTGATTCTTTTTTGACTCTTCGTGGGTTCTCTCCGATAGATTTTGAAATGAACCTAACAATTTGTCATTAAATCATTAGAGTAACCTGATCATATTAAGGCCTTCTAAGTTCAGATATGATATGATTAAACATTCAAAACATCACTACTTCATTTTATTTCTCTTAGCTATAGCATTCCTCTTCAGCATTCTTCTTACACAAACCCCAACAAATTGTCACACATTAAGCTTACACCAAGATGACATTATTATATTACCCGATGAACCAGATGCTACCTGTCCCATGGGTTATTTCCATTGCAACACAACATTACAGTGTGTATCGCAACGTTTGAATTGTGATGGTTCAGCTGATTGTGATGATGCCTCCGATGAATGGAATTGTGTAAATGACATAGATGCAATATTTTGGGATCATTTGTTTCGCAAACAACCATATGGACGACATGATGATATACCCATAGGCACATGTTGTAAGTGAAGTGAAATAAAATACAAAAAAAAATATTTGACATTTTTTAATCTCGTTTTTTATATAGATTGGCCAGCAAATAATTTGAGTTGTGCCTGTCGTGGCAATGAAATTTTATGTCGCAATCAACAATTAACTGCCATACCGGCAAATTTGCCCTACAATGATGTGGCCATGCTGTAAGTTATAGTATTTTTAGTTTTTTTCCCCATTGTAATTTGTTTACTATAATATTAATGTTTATCTTTGTTGTTGTTGTTTTTCACTGTATATTTGCAACACCCCCCATAGTTTTTAATATCTGCTCTGATTTCATTTTTAATTGCAGCGATTTAACGGGCAATAATTTTACACATTTAAGTGAGAATTTTTTGGATAATCTACCAATGACCGAGGAATTGTAAGTAAATATTAAGGTGAATAATAAAATATTAAAATTTTTCATTAATTTTCCTTTAAACACATTTTTTTTTTAAATATTTGCATCTTTTTTATTCAAACACAATTTTTAAATATTTTTTGTTTTAGGGTATTAAAACTTTGTTCCATCACTACTATGGATTCTCATGCCTTCAGACAACTCTCGACAGTGCCGGTTAAAACATTGTAAGTATTATGACTACCAAGTTGAAAACTTTCATTACAGGCTATAGACTAGATTATGGTCCATATGAAGGACTGTAGACTGTACTATATTCTAGTGTATACACAACACTATAAAAAAGACTATTGACCAGATCATAGAGTAGACTATAAACTAGACTATGGACTAGTGTATAGTCCAGACAATAGACTAAGCTATAGTCCAGACTAAGACTAGACTATAGTCTAGAATAAGTCTAGACTATAGCCCTGACTGTATACCAGATTCTAGAGAAGACTCTACTAATCAGCCTTTAGACTAGATCCTAGTCCAGACTATAGACTAGTGTCCAGATAATAGACCAGATTATATTCCTGACTATAGACCAGATTATTGTACAGATTTTTGGCTAGACTGTAGTTAGCCCTATAGAGCTTACTATATTCCAGACTATAGACCAAACTATATATTATAGACTAGACTATTGTCTAGACTGGATTATAGTCCAGAATATAGAATGGAATGTATTCCAGATCAAAGACTAAACTCTATTGCAAATCATAGATTAAACTATATTTCAGACTATAGTCCAGACTATAGACTACACTCTAGTACATATAACAAACTGGGCTATATTCCAGAGTATAGACTAGACTATAGTCCAGACTATAGACTAGACTATAGTCAGGACTATAGACTAGACTATAGTCAGGACTATAGACTAGACTATGGTCCAGACTATAGACTTAACGACAGCCTAAACTATAGTTCAGATTATAGGCTAAAGTATAGTCCCGACAATAGACTTGACAATAGTTCAGAGTATGGAATACACTATAGTCCAGACTATAGACTACACTATAGTCCAGACTATAGACTACACTATAGTTCAGACTATAGACTACACTATAGTACATATAATAGAATGGGCTATATTCAAGACTATAAACTAGACAATAGTCCAGACCATGGACTAGACTACAGTCCAGACTATAGACAAGACTATAGCGCAGACTATGGACTAGACTATAGTCCAGACTATAGACTAGACTATAGTCCAGACTATAGACTAGACTATAGCCCAGACTGTAGACTGGACTATAGTCCAGACTATAGACATGACATGTCTAGACTGATTAGTTACTTACTTAGTTAGGTAGTTAGTTAGTTAGTTAGTAGTTAGTTAGTTAGTTAGTTAGTTAGTTATTTAGTTAGTTAGTTAGTTAGTTAGTTAGTTAGTAGTTAGTTAGTTAGTTAGTTAGTTAGTTAGTTAGTTAGTTAGTTAGTTAGTTAGTTAGTTAGTTAGTTAGTTAGTTAGTTAGTTAGTTAGTTAGTTAGTTAGTTAGTTAGTTAGTTAGTTAGTTAGTTAGTTAGTTAGTTAGTTAGTTAGTTAGTTAGTTAGTTAGTTAGTTAGTTAGTTAGTTAGTTAGTTAGTTAGTTAGTTAGTTAGTTAGTTAGTAGTTAGTTAGTTAGTTAGTTAGTTAGTTAGTAGTTAGTTAGTTAGTTAGTTAGTTAGTTAGTTAGTTAGTTAGTTAGTTAGTTAGTTAGTTAGTTAGTTAGTTAGTTAGTAGTTAGTTAGTAGTTAGTTAGTTAGTTAGTAGTTAGTTAGTTAGTTAGTTAGTTAGTTAGTTAGTTAGTTAGTTAGTTAGTTAGTTAGTTAGTTAGTTAGTTAGTTAGTTAGTTAGTTAGTTAGTTAGTTAGTTAGTTAGTTAGTTAGTTAGTTAGTTAGTTAGTTAGTTAGTTAGTTAGTTAGTTAGTTAGTTAGTTAGTAGTTAGTAGTTAGTTAGTTAGTTAGTTAGTTAGTTAGTTAGTTAGTTAGTTAGTTAGTTAGTAGTTAGTTAGTTAGTTAGTTAGTTAGTTAGTTAGTTAGTTAGTTAGTTAGTTAGTTAGTTAGTTAGTTAGTTAGTTAGTTAGTTAGTTAGTTAGTTAGTTAGTTAGTTAGTTAGTTAGTTAGTTAGTTAGTTAGTTAGTTAGTTGTTAGTTAGTTAGTTAGTTAGTTAGTTAGTTAGTTAGTTAGTTAGTTAGTTAGTTAGTTAGTAGTTTTTTTTTAGTTAGTTAGTTAGTTAGTAGTTAGTTAGTTAGTTAGTAGTAGTTAGTTAGTTAGTTAGTTAGTTAGTTAGTTAGTAGTTAGTTAGTTAGTAGTTTAGTTAGTTAGTTAGTAGTTAGTTAGTTAGTAGTTAGTTAGTTAGTTCGTTAGTTAGTTAGTTAGTTAGTTAGGTTAGTTAGTAGTTAGTTAGTTGGTAGTTAGTTAGTAGTTAGTTAGTTAGTTAGTTAGTTAGAGTTAGTTAGTTAGTTAGTTAGTTAGTTAGTTAGTTATTAGTTAGTTAGTTTAGTTTAGTTAGTTAGTTAGAGTTTAGTTAGTTAGTTAGTTAGTTAGTTAGTTAGTTAGTAGGTTAGTTAGTTAGTTAGTTAGTTAGTTAGTTAGTTAGGTTAGTTAGTTAGTTAGTTTAGTAGTTAGCCTACCTAGTTAGTTAGTTTACATCTCTGGACTTGCATCCTACAGCACTTCCACTGTCCTACTACAGACTGCTGTACTCTTGTTTTATCCGTGTAGGTTATTGCATAGTCAACTTGGTGCTATTAATTTCCTACTTCTGTATTTTATGAGTCACTTTGGAAATAGTTTTCTCTTAGACTTTTTTGAAACATTTCTTTTTATTTTTGTTTTATTTTTCGCAATTTATATGTTTATCTTTCTGTCTGCTAGATATTTGGATGAAAATAAAATTGAATGTCTGCCGGAAAATTTGTTTGCCAAAGGAAATTATTTGAAAACACTGTAAGTAGTTAAATGCTTAGAATAATTGCTTTATTCAAAGGCCAAGAGAATATAAATAAATTAAATTGTTTATTGTAAGCAAACACGTTTACAAATTTCTTTAATTGTTAAAAAGAAATCAAAAAGAGAGCAATTAGAGACACCGGTGCGTATAATTGTTGCTATTTATAAATTTGAAATTTATCATACGTATTGGTGCAACAGCGAAGGTGTTTAAATTGGCATGCATTATAGAAATAAATTTTTAAAAATTTGTTAAAATGTTATTTTTTATTAATAACTTTAGATTTGGCTTAATTTTGTTTTAAAATTTTTGATTTTTTAGCATTTTATCCGGCAATCGTATAAATGTTTTACATGACTATGACTTCATATTCTTGGAGGAATTACTGGAATTGTAAGTTAAATTTTTTTCTGTCATTTTTTTATACAACTGACAGTGATTGATGTGTATGGTCTTTTGTTATTTCGTTTAGAGATTTGCGTGGCAATTGTTTGGAAACATTTAATGCCATGATTTTTGAGCCATTACAAAAGTTGGAAGTATTGTAAGTAGAAATTTAAGAAAATTATGCAAATGCTTTAAGTTTGCCTAATATAATATTCCTATTTAAAACATTTCTTTTTCCTTAATATTTACTTAGTAACATGTTTATATTTACTTACATCTTTATATGTTTGTTTTTCCAATCAGTTTGCAATATGTTTGTACTCAATTTATTTTTTTCAATTTTCTTCTAGATATTTGAATAGAAATAATATAAAGCAATTGGAAGCTGGTATGTTTCCCATATTGAAAAATGTACACACTTTGTCCTTGGCAGATAACAATCTAAGGAGCATAGAAAGTAATAGCTTTACATTTCCTCATCTCAGATATTTGTAAGTATGTGATAAGTGAAAAACAAAAATGAAATCAAATTCTAGATTATTAAGCATATTATTAAAGGAAATACTGTTAGTAATATATATTCCTAAATTATATATTCCAGTCTTAATAAATGCCTATTATTTTTATGCCTAAACAAACACCATAATCTTCTGACATAAAGAAATAACCCAAGCATACAACCTATTATAATGGAAATTTCTTAAGCAAATAGAAAATGATAACACAAAATCATTGTTTTCCTAAACAAACTTGGTCATTGTCATAAGACAGTGTCGTTATAACTATCATTAGCATTAATCTTGTTGATTATAATGACAATTTTGTAATATTCATTAATTTCTAAAAATAACATGTCTGTAACTTTGAGTTGCTAGAAATTACCACTTTATTTAGGTTATCAAAATTAATATCTATAAATAACATGGTTTACATGGCTATGTTTTCTATTATAACTATTACATCCTTTATTTTAATGATTATGGTTAAGACCACTATTACTTCTACGCAATAAAGCAGATTCCCTTACACCCTAAGGCCGTTGTAAATGGCATTAACCTAGCAGTCAAAGGGATTGTTAACAAATTCAGTAGATCTTCACCTTGTCTCTCATGTGTTCGTGTTTAGTAGCACAGACCACCGCTCTTAGTTCTCTAGTGACTCAGCCAGATCATCAACAAGGTCTTTGCTAAAGAAGGAGGAGGTAATCTCCCAGTTGAGTGGGACAACTTCCCTTGAATCCTAAAGATCGCACTTTATGCGTTACATATTTCATGAGTAAATTCCAGTGATAGCAGACAAGGAGGAGGTAATGAACCCAAGGAATTATTCGCATGACTCTGTCGGATCATCAACCAACACTTTCCTCAATTACTCAAGCTTTGTAATATTTTGTTATTGTAGTTCCCTTGTGGAATGACAGGGTTCATGATTAAAATCCATTGATGCCTCAGACAAGGAGGAGGCAATCAGTGCAAAGAATTATTCGCATGACTCTGTCGGATCATCAACCGACACTTTCCTCAATTACTTAAGCTTTGTAATCTCTTGTTATTGTAGTTCCCTTGTGGAATGATAGAGCTCATGATTAAAATCCAATGATGCCTCAACAAGGGGGAGGTAATCATCTAGTTGTATCAATAGAGACAATTTCCCTTGAATCTCAGCGATTGAACATGCACTTTGCTCAAGTACTTGTTCTATTTAATCCCTCACCACATAGACGCGTTGCGGAATGACAGGCGTCATAAGTAAAACCCAATGATTTCTCAACAAGGAAGAGGTAATCACCCAGTTGTTTCAATAGAGACAACTTCCCTTGAATCCCGATGACAGGTAACTAGAGTAAATCCAAATGATACCTCGACACTCAGTTAAGTCAATAGAGACAACTTCCCTTGAATCCTAAATATCAAAATTAATCAGTTAATATGATTGGCATCCAGAGTAAATTCCAAAGATACCCCTATAAAGAGGAGGTAATCACCCAGATGAGTCAATAGAGATAACTTCACCTGAATCCCAACGATCGAAATTGATTAGTTAACATGACTGCGATCCAGAGCAAATCCAAATGATAACTCTACAAGGAGGATCTAATCACCCAGTTGTGTCAAAAGAGAAGCTAATCACCTAAATGAGCCAACAGATACAACTTCCAATGAATCCCAAAGATCTCACTTAATGCTTTAATATGAAGGGCATCATAAGTAAATCTCAATGATACCCCGACAAGGAGGAGACAATCTCCCAGATGAGTTAGCAGAGATAACTTCCCTTGAGTACCAACGATCGCACTTGATGTGCCAATATTGCCTCTGCTTAACAACAGAGACAGACAACTAATGTCAACGGTGTCATGTAAGTTGCTAAAAACCGGCTCTCCTCTACCTACTGAACCTCATTTAAGTTCATTCTTCAAAATTTTAAAAACCGCACAACCACTTTACTAAGTTGTTTCGGCAAATGCACATGGATACGTATTTGAGATGAGGGAGGATTCACCAAGGTAACATTTGCCAGGGGGAAGACTAACTAGCACCTAAATTCCCCGGAATTGCAATAACACCAAGATGAGGAAGGATTCACCAATGGGAAGGTGAATTCTGACAGTACAATTCAACATTTCTGCAAACATTCGCAACAAAAGAGTGCGTTTGCTCTACTTTGAGAAGACAGTTGACTCGAGATATTGTTAGCACCTTTATTCCCTAGAATTGCAGTAACATCAAGGTGAGAGAATACTCACCAAGGTATCAGCCTCATGAGAAATGGAATAGTATTCAATATTTCTTCAAACGTTCGCATTAAAAGAGTGCGTATGCTCCACTTTGAGAAGCCGAGGTATTGGTAGCACATTCAGTCCCCGGAATTTCAATAATACCTAGATGAGGGAGATTACATAAAGGTAATATGCCCCATGGGAAATGCAAAACCTGACATTACTCTTCCATATTTCTTCAAAGTTTTGCATTAAAATATAGCGTCTGAGCTTCCAACATTCAATCTTGAAGTTCAAAGGTATTTTTCTGTTATATAATCCTATGCACCCTAAGAAGCTCATGTGCAGCATTGATCATTACCTCTTCATCTTTTTCAAGATATTTTGATCTAACTTCGACGTAAGCAATGGCAATGAAAGTTTTTCAGTGTATCATTGCCCTTTCCTAATGCTATACATTTGTCTCTTCTTGTTCATACAGTTTTTTTATTTGTGACCGTAAACTTGTATGTTCACTTAGGGATTTTCGGAAATTTTCAATGTAGATCCCCAGACTAATTTTGTCTCCCCCTTTAGAGCCATTCGTGTAACGTTAATGCTCCTCTTGATGATGACAGATTTCAGCTTCTAGCTCATCTTTATTGCGCATTGGTAGGACTTCTTTTCAGACATTCTTTTCTTCGAGGTGGATTTGATCAACGCTCTTGGCTTCACAATTGATTGCTTGGTTTTTTTCGCTAAAGACTCTTTTGAGAAAATTATGGCTTGTTTTTTTTTCTCATAGTTTAATTTGCTTCGAGTTTGAGAAAGAGTTCGAAATATCGAGTATCATATTCTCGATCGTATTCTTCAACTTCATTCTCCATATTTTAGACAGCGGGGTTTTCTCAGAGTTTCGTTTATAGGGAGACCTGATTTTCTACTTAACGTTTTTTTCTAACGTTTTTTTCTATAATTAAATACTTAAATTTCAATTAATTCTCCAATTTTTCTTTTTCAGATTTTTAGCAGGTAATATGCTAACTGAATTGAAAAGTCGCACATTTTGTAACCTAAATATGTTGCAAGGATTGTAAGTATTGAAAAGGAATTATTTATTTACTTGCATTTTTGGATTTATTAAATCACGGTATTCATTTTTAGGCATTTAAATAATAACTCTCTACAAACATTTGATCTTCATGCTTTCGATTGTTTGGGTAATCTAACTTCTTTATTGCTAAATGATAATGAATTTAGAACCTTGGATCCTAGAGTTTTACAGAATTTAAGCAATTTAGATTATATGTAAGTGAAGTTTTAATTAATTTTTAAGAAAACTTTATGATTTTTTTCTATTACGCAGCTATTTTTCCTGGTTCCATTTGTGCCGTGCTGCAATGCATGTAAGAGTTTGCGATCCTCATGGTGATGGTATCAGTAGTACACAGCATTTATTGGATAATCCAATACTTAGAGGCAGGTAAGAGTTAAACAAAGAAATTTAAGATTAAAGTAGGAAACGAAAGAGAGTGGCAAATGGGCTTTCGTAACTAGACTATAGACTAGACTATAGACTAGACTATAGACTAGACTATAGACTAGACTATAGACTAGACTATAGACTAGACTATAGGCTAGACTATAGACTAGACTATAGACTAGACTATAGACTAGACTATAGACTAGACTAGACTAGACTAGACTATAGACTATAGACTAGACTATAGACTAGACTATAGACTAGACTATAGACTAGACTAGACTAGACTATAGACTAGACTATAGACTAGACTATAGACTAGACTATAGACTAGACTATAGACTAGACTATAGACTAGACTATAGACTAGACTATAGACTAGACTATAGACTAGACTATAGACTAGACTATAGACTAGACTATAGACTAGACTATAGACTAGACTATAGACTAGACTATAGACTAGACTATAGACTAGACTATAGACTAGACTATAGACTAGACTATAGACTAGACTATACTAGACTATAGACTAGACTATAGACTAGACTATAGACTAGACTATACTAGACTATAGACTAGACTATAGACTAGACTATAGACTAGACTATAGACTAGACTATAGACTAGACTATGGACTAGACTATAGAATAGACTATAGACTAGACTATAGACTAGACTATAGACTAGACTATAGACTAGACTATAGACTATAGACTAGACTATAGACTAGACTATAGACTAGACTATAGACTAGACTATAGACTAGACTATAGACTAGACTATAGACTAGACTATAGACTAGACTATAGACTAGACTATAGACAAGACTATAGACAAGACTATAGACTAGACTATAGACTAGACTATGGACTAGACTAAAGACTAGACTATAGATTAGACTATAGACTAGACTATAGACTAGACTATAGACTAGACTATAGACTAGACTATAGACTAGACTATAGACTAGACTATAGACTAGACTATAGACTAGACTATAGACTAGACTGTAGACTAGACTATAGACTAGACTATACACTAGACTATAGACTAGACTATAGAATAGACTATAGACTAGACTATACACTAGACTATAGACTAGACTATAGACTAGACTATAGACTAGACTATAGACTAGACTATAGACTAGACTATAGACTAGACTATAGACTAGACTATAGACTAGACTATACACTAGACTATAGACTAGACTATAGACTAGACTATAGACTAGACTATAGACTAGACTATAGACTAGACTATAGACTAGACTATAGACTAGACTATAGACTAGACTATAGACTAGACTATAGACTAGACTATAGACTAGACTATAGACTAGACTATAGACTAGACTATAGACTAGACTATAGACTAGACTATAGACTAGACTATAGACAAGACTATAGACTAGACTATAGACTAGACTATAGACTAGACTATAGACTAGACTATAGACTAGACTATAGACTAGACTATGACTAGACTATAGACTAGACTATAGACTAGACTATAGACTAGACTATAGACTAGACTATAGACTAGACTATAGACTAGACTATAGACTAGACTATAGACTAGACTATAGACTAGACTATAGACTAGACTATAGACTAGACTATAGACTAGACTATAGACTAGACTATAGACTAGACTATAGACTAGACTATAGACTAGACTATAGACTAGACTATAGACTAGACTAGACTAGACTATAGACTAGACTATAGAACTAGACTATAGACTAGACTATAGACTAGACTATAGACTAGAGCTATAGACTAGACTATAGACTACACTATAGACTAGACTATAGACTAGACTATAGACTAGACTATAGACTAGACTATAGACTAGACTATAGACTAGACTATAGACTAGACTATAGACTAGACTATAGACTAGACTATAGACTAGACTATAGACTAGACTATAGACTATACTAGAGACTAGACTATAGACTAGACTATAGACTAGACTATAGACTAGACTATAGACTAGACTATAGACTAGACTATAGACTAGACTATAGACTAGACTTAGACTATAGCTAGACTATAGACTAGACTATAGACTAGACTATAACTAGACTATAGACTAGACTATAGACTAGACTATAGACTAGACTATAGACTAGACTATAGACTAGACTATAGACTAGACCTATAGACTAGACTATAGACGAGACTATAGACTAGACTAGAGACTAGACCTATAGACTAGACTATAGACTAGACTATAGACTAGACTATAGACTAGACTATAGATTAGACTATAGACTAGACTATAGATTAGACTATAGCACGAGACTATAGACTATAGACTAGACTATAGACTAGACTATAGACTAGACTATAGACTAGACTATAGACTAGACTATAGACTAGACTATAGACTAGACTATAGACTACACTATAGACTACACTATATAATAAGTCTTTGCATAGCCCTGATTTAAAGCTTTTTCATTGAGTTCAAAGAAAATTCATTTGAAAAATTTCATTCAGCGTCAACCCAACCCCTTTTTCTGACATTCTTTAAGTTGGGAGGGTTTTTTTTAAATGATTTATTTTAACCACAAAAAATATTTTTGTTTGCGATCTGGAATAAAAGTCTTACGCTTTACAAATATGTTTTCGTTATGACCTTTCATTTAAGTTCCTATTTTTTCCAAATCAGTGATTTTTACAATATTCTTCACTTTCTACTTTTTGTTTTTTGTTATTTTCAGTGTCTGGGTTATGGCAGCCATAGCTGTTGTTGGCAATCTATTGGTTCTACTCGGTCGTTATTTCTATAAAACGCGCAGCAATGTAGAACATTCTCTGTATCTCCGCCACTTGGCTGCCAGTGATTTTCTAATGGGCATTTATCTGGCGATTATTGCTTGTGCTGATATAAGTTTTCGTGGCGAGTATATTGTACATGAGGAGTTGTGGCGCCACAGTGGCATGTGTGCATTTTCAGGTTTGTTCCAATATAGAGAGAGGGTGGTTGGTTGTTTTTTAATTGGTTTTTGTGTGTTTTTAATTATATTTATTTGAATATTTCTTTTTTTTCTCATTTATTTCTAGGATTCTTAAGCACGTTTAGCTGCCAATCGTCTACTCTCCTGCTGACGTTGGTTACTTGGGATCGTTTGATGTCGGTGATGAGACCTTTACATGCTCGGGATACAGCTAGGAAAAGGTATAAAGACGGACATACAGACAGGCGGATATATAATAATACAGATTGACTGACAGATAGACAGACAGAAGGACGGACAGACGGACGGATATCATTAAATCTATTTCCTCTTCAAACTTTTAATTTTTTAATTTACAAAATAAACTTAAACAAGAAAATTACTCCATTAATTTATGGTTACACATATAAAAAAACATTATCAATCTTTTGTTTCTCACTTTCAGAATTGTTGTACGTCTACTGATACTGTGGAGCATATCCTTCGCCTTGGCTGCTGCTCCTCTTTTCCCTACACAATATTTTGGCTCCCACTTCTATGGCACAAATGGTGTTTGCTTATCCCTGCATATACATGATCCCTATGCCAAGGTGAGTTAGTGGTTTTTTTGCTTCTTTCTAGGATTGCATTTCCTTAAGCTCCATTTACAACAACTTTTTTCTAAACATAAATCTTATTTTCCATTATCTGTTTTCTTCTCCTCCTTCTTTTGCTCCGACATTAGGGTTGGGAGTATTCTGCAGTGTTATTTATTTGTATAAATACCTTTTCCTTGGTTTTCATTTTAACTTCTTATGTGAGGATGCTGCAGGCTATCAAGGATTCGGGTGGTGGTATGCGTAGCACAATAAGTGGTCGTGAAAGTGTTGTGGCAACGAGGTAAGTACAAGAAATTATTTAAATTGTAAACCACAACTCAGTTTTAATTTAGTTCTGTACTAGTTCTGTTCTGTTCTAGTTCTGTTCTAGTTCTGTTCTAGTTCTGTTCTAGTTCTGTTCTAGTTCTGTTCTAGTTCTGTTCTAGTTCTGTTCTAGTTCTGTTCTAGTTCTGTTCTAGTTCTGTTCTAGTTCTGTTCTAGTTCTGTTCTAGTTCTGTTCTAGTTCTGTTCTAGTTCTGTTCTAGTTCTGTTCTAGTTCTGTTCTAGTTCTGTTCTAGTTCTGTTCTAGTTCTGTTCTAGTTCTGTTCTAGTTCTGTTCTAGTTCTGTTCTAGTTCTGTTCTAGTTCTGTTCTAGTTCTGTTCTAGTTCTGTTCTAGTTCTGTTCTAGTTCTGTTCTAGTTCTGTTCTAGTTCTGTTCTAGTTCTGTTCTAGTTCTGTTCTAGTTCTGTTCTAGTTCTGTTCTAGTTCTGTTCTAGTTCTGTTAGTTCTGTTCTAGTTCTGTTCTAGTTCTGTTCTAGTTCTGTTCTAGTTCTGTTCTAGTTCAGTTCTAGTTCTGTTCTAGTTCTGTTCTAGTTCAGTTCTAGTTCTGTTCTAGTTCTGTTCTAGTTCTGTTCTAGTTCTGTTCTAGTTCTGTTCTAGTTCTGTTCTAGTTCTGTTCTAGTTCTGTTCTAGTTCTGTTCTAGTTCTGTTCTAGTTCTAGTTCTGTTCTAGTTCTGTTCTAGTTCTGTTCTAGTTCTGTTCTAGTTCTGTTCTAGTTCTGTTCTAGTTCTGTTCTAGTTCTGTTCTAGTTCTGTTCTAGTTCTGTTCTAGTTCTGTTCTAGTTCTGTTCTAGTTCTGTTCTAGTTCTGTTCTAGTTCTGTTCTAGTTCTGTTCTAGTTCTGTTCTAGTTCTGTTCTAGTTCTGTTCTAGTTCTGTTCTAGTTCTGTTCTAGTTCTGTTCTAGTTCTGTTCTAGTTCTAGTTCTAGTTCTGTTCTAGTTCTAGTTCTGTTCTAGTTCTGTTCTAGTTCTGTTCTAGTTCTGTTCTAGTTCTGTTCTAGTTCTGTTCTAGTTCTAGTTCTGTTCTAGTTCTAGTTCTGTTCTAGTTCTAGTTCTGTTCTAGTTCTGTTCTAGTTCTGTTCTAGTTCTGTTCTAGTTCTGTTCTAGTTCTGTTCTAGTTCTGTTCTAGTTCTGTTCTAGTTCTGTTCTAGTTCTGTTCTTGTTCTGTACTAGTTCTGTTCTAGTTGTGAAATATTTTTTTAAGTTTTCCTTTTTACTCACCATGAATTTTTTAATTTTCTTTACTGCAGGTTTGCCATCATTATCACCACCGACTGTGCCTGCTGGTTGCCTGTAATAGTTGTTAAATTGCTGGCTTTATCTGGTTAGTGTTGCAAGAGTCATCATAAATTTTTTACAAAACTTAATCTTTTCCTTTATTTCTCTTCGCCTTAGGCATACCTATATCACCTTCTCTCTATGCCTGGTTGGCTGTCCTAGTGCTGCCCGTTAATTCAGCATTAAATCCCATACTTTATACTCTTACAACGGCGGTGTTTAAACAACAGCTAAGACGTTACTGTCAAGCCTTACCTACCTGCTCGCATATGTTCTTGGAGCGACAGAGTACTCAAATGGGATTTGAGTCGGCTATAAGCACAAGTTTGGGGCAATTTGGCAGCAGTAAATCTAATAAATCCAATTCGGGACGTAAACGTTCTTCGCAAAGGTGCTCACAACGTTGCGCGAATCCGAAATGTGGCAGTCATGTATGAGATAGAGTGAAATTTGTGATCCATTATGAGGACACTATACTGTAGTACAAGCCAGCAAATATAACGAACGAATTTTAAAAAAATACAATGTGATTAAGAACTGTGAACTGCTCTTTGTTAAAAACTGTTGAAT